TTAAGTGGATGAGTTCTGAGAGAAATGTCCAGGTAGATGACTCAGCCATGATAGTGTCGGACATCGGGGAGAGGAATAAAGGGCCTTTTGAACCAGTACAGCGTGTGGTGTGCAGTGAAGGTAGGTCAGCTAGGAAGGCAAGGTTAAAGACAGTGAAGGAAAGGCACCTTGGAGACATTTGTGAGGTTCCTCCTAGAGGCGTGGGATGAAAGGTAATCAGTGAGGAGCCCCCAGGCGTACTATCGTAAGTCATGAGGGCCGTTGGGAAGGTTGGTGCAGAGGGTTCCCGGGCGCACTGGTGTAAGCCCTGGGGACCACATGGGGATATATCTATGCTTGCGTCCGTCTGTCTGATGTGATAAATGTTGTTGGTTGCTAATGATCGTGAAAAGAAGCTAAAGTTTTTTGGTGGGGGAGTGTTGAATGTGTTTTGATTTGTTCTTGTAATGTATTCAAAAACATTGACCACCCATTTTGTTCAACTTCATTCAATTTGCTCGTATAACCGTATTTAACCACTTGTTTTGATTAGTGTTACAATTTTATTTCAATTTTGGATAGAAATTGCAGTAGCCGTTAAAATTGAAGGTTTGTAACTAAGTCTTGTACATATATTTTGTTGTAAAGAACAATTTTCACAGGGTTCACTTACTGTTTGAATATACATTCGCTTTTTGGTAATCAACTGTTTTGGATTTCGTCGGTTCTTGTTTTGGGTTTTGGGCACTCCGAAAACTCGTATCTTCGTTACGCGCTACTCAGCGGATCTGACGTAACATGAGCTTACGAGCCCCTGTTTGCACGGATTTCTGCCCAAGGAATCTTGTATCACGTATTACTTACAGTTCTATGATGACTTAATCAACTGGGGACACAGTGGAAGGGTTGTCATCTTGCTTTGCTTCGATTTCAATAAAGCTATAGACAAAGTGCATCGCGATTTACTCCCTCACTAACTAAATTCAGCTACGATAACTGGGAAGTCATATGTTTGGATCGGCTCATTTCTGTTGAGCCGCATTCAAGTTGTCACATCGGGTTCATGATGGCTGTACATGGAATTTCGAAACCACTGCCGTGACTAATACACCTGAAGTCCAGCCCCACTCAAGGAATACCCATCACCTAATTCCACTCAAGTGTTTTAATCGTGAGGGTATAACGCACGCGTGGTATAAGGCAAAAGACCGTGCGAACGGCGGGGCGTGCATGTTTGGGAGTAAACCTAGACTCATCGGGCAAGAAAAGGGACGGCAGCCAATACTACCCATAGAGTCAGCGGTTGCTACACAGACACAAGTTTACAGGCCAAGCACATCTAGCACTGGAACATTTGGCGCTACGGTCCTTCCGCTAGCTGAGTTAACACCTAAAATATGGGACGACACCAATCTTGTTGCGACTAGTGATCCTAAACTACCACCCAGCTACGTATGTATTTCTCTCACAGAAACATGTTACCGGTCCCATCTTCCCATCCGGCAAACCCTAATATGTGTGTTCAACAACATTATGGGACCAGAAAGAAAAGTAGAAGATAAGATAACGCCCCCAAAACACTTGATGGCTGACCCCATTTGCAGCAAAATCCTTGCTCTCGTCGTATGTTTCTAGCAGAAATGCGTACCTTAAGCATGAAATCCTTCCATAGGGACCAGGAGCTCAGGGTGGGAAGTGAAGTGACTCGCCATAAAGTTTCTTGTTTAATGGCAAGAGTGGTGAGCAATGTAGCTAGCACTCGACTTTTAGACTCTATATGGACCTACTGCACTCTCTACTGCATCAAACACCTGCATAGGGTCGTATGTAGGTCCCCTTGTTCAAAAGGGAGCGGTCATGAAGCCAGCCAACTTAACGGGTTACGACTCCATGAACATCGCCGGCTACTTCAACATTCCGTCTATCCTGCTCAAGACGGGAGCCACACCAGTTTGTTAAGTCAAAAGACGAAGATTATAGTAAGGCCGCTAGTCCGTCAGAGGCGGTGAGTGACGCCACACTTTGAGGACCCAACAGAAATGCACCACGCTTGGACTACGTTCTGATAAACGGTGGTCTTACTGAGAACGTGCACGCCAAATCGTCTATTGACCTCGCTGATCATTCAGCACTGTTTCATCCATGATAACTAGAGAGGTTCTGAGATCGGGGATACCAAACGACCCCCTTTGCTGGCGCAAAGTCAGGTGAAAGCCCGAGAGAGACTACCCCATGAAAACACCGTGGTCTGAAGACTGCTCTTGTCTCGCAATGGGTTAACATTATGCATGGATGAAGGAAACGATTCTTGGAGCTATCAGTGACGATGTACTGGAGATAAAAGATCAAAAATTGGTGAGAACTCCACGACTAAAGCTTAGAAACAAAGGCTAGCTCAGAGCACAAGATAAGCGTGGTTACGGTAGCATTCATCACACGAGGAGTTTGACTTCTTGAGCTCCAAAAGAATTCGCAATCGTTGCCACATAAGAGACCCCAGCGATACGTTTAACCATCAGGTAGACCTGTTAAGGGGGTTAAAAAGTAGTCCAAAGGACCAGTATCGCATCTTTTCGAAAGGAGAGCTTACTAGCAAATGAGTTAATCTTATCACAGGTCCTGGTGGAGATGTACCAAATGGTCTAGAAATAGGTGGGTGCTCAGCTCACCTTTTAAAGCTCAGGTATGTACTTTTGACGCCAAATTCACACCTATGTGAGACGTCACTGATCAGACCGTAAATAAAGAGTGCTTCTGCCGTGACACAGAAAAGAGTATTGAGAAAGCTTTCTCGTCTCCATCCCGCAAATCCCACAGCCGCGACGACTTGAGATCGGTAATCCTAAATTACTACCTCGTGGCACTCGCAAATCTAGTCTGCAACCTCTTCAGGCATTTGCTAGTCATGTAGTCTTTTTATGGGCGGAAATTCGCAATCTTGACAGTGGTTTTTACGGAAGCAGACGGTCAAATTCCTGGCAACCATGGACCGATTGCCTGACATGGAGCAACCCTAGGTCCACACTTGTTCTTTCTGCCTGTCAACGATCTCTGACAGAGAATCTCCTCACCCCTCCTGCTTTCAGATGAAATTCGGAAGGTAGTAAGGGGGGAGGCCTGCTATGCAGTGCTTCAGAACAACCACGGATAAGTATCTGGAGCCCAACTGCCCCGACAGCCAGAGCGTCGCCTCCAACTACAAAGGAACGGCAGCCAGGGTGAGCGCCACTTTGCAATTTCTGCATAGACAGCTTGGAGCTCTCACCCCCGAAATGTCTCCATCAACTTTCGAATCCTATCAACGACCACATCTGGACGTCCTCAACGCGGCAGCGTCATCAGCGCTGACGACAAACTCCAGTATCCTCGGGATCTGCGGCATAATCAGCTGTGGGGCACAGGGAGAGGACGCACCCTGGGAGACTGAACCCGTTGACTTTCGGCTGTTGTAGGAAGAGAGCTGACCTTATTCCGACCTTCAAGGTAATCCGCCGGGCAATTCATGCGGAAACACCAGCCTTGGCAACAACATGTCGGTCGTCGCGAAGACACCCTATTCGATGGCATTGTAGCGTCATACACTTCCCCAAAATCAAGAGCCTAGGGTTTGACGACTTTCGACATTGATGCTGACCTTGATAGTTTAACTGGACTCGCTAAGCTGAAGGCACCCGGTCAAGCATCCTCGCCATTTCACACGCTGTCGTGTTACGTTGCACTGCTCGTATTCGACTCTCTAGCCAGTTAGTTGGAACGCATCGGTATTTTGGCACAACTATCCAAATATACTATTCCATCCGACTACGCTATCGTGTTCTTCCTTGGTCTCGTATTCGTGGGTATATAGCAAGTTCGAATAATTAGTGATTGGTCTTTGCGTCTGTCAAGTTCGCACCAGGACATATCCTAAAGCATACTAGACAGCTAGCACCAGGCTCAGCCTGAACCTTTTCTTCTTGAGAGTATGTGGCTTATGTGTTGCTTTGCCAAGGGATGCAGTCACAACCCTTCCCAATACACCCTTTCAAAAGAATATTCGGTTGTTACGTTAGCTTGTTTAGCCTACCGATGACATATTCATTACTGACCTCACCATCCTATCACAACTTTCTCCACACTTTCCACTATCTGTTTTGTTTACGCCCTCTCGAGCAGCGAGACCTTCACTATCTACTTTTACCTTTTGAGTAAGTCCCACACACCTCTTTTCACCATTCAAACTTCCACATTCGGGTAACAAAACAGACAATTGCAGCGGAAGCCCTCTAATCTTCCAAACAGCCCCTAGCTCCTTAACCATCTCAATCTACAAATCCCAACCTGGCAAACATTTACACCACCAGAACTAATAACAGGAAGGCAGAATAAATTCCCTCACCTACTGCAGAAGCAAACGAAACAATAACTAGACGCGAGATACCAAAACTACTGTACACCCGCACTAGTGATGTTGGTTATTGTATTATGTAAAGACGCGGAATGCCAATATATCGGCGCTTTTCAAACTTTTGCAACAACAGATTAGGTCAAACAGGCGTTCAAATTGGAGATAACTCAGTAACAAGAACAAGCAATACTGTATTTCAACAAGGGTGCCCGACAGACATCTAAATTGTCTGCATCATAAATGAAATAGTTTTGGTGTAGGTTCTTGAAACTAAGTTTCAAGGCTGGCCATTCATGAATTCAAACTGCCGCACGAAATTATTTAATTTCAATAATGCTTTAAAATCAGAAAGAGAGTGACTGTAATTAGGCATTATTCCGGCATCATTGAAATGGGACTATTGAATAACCTTGCAGCGCGGTAAAACGTTTGAGGGTAATAGCTTCGGTTTCGTCTTCGATTTCCTTTTCGCTTTCATCGCAGTTTTGTGGAATTTTTAACTGGCAGTTGAATTGCCCAGTTTTTGTAATATAAAGAGCTATGGTAGTTGAATTAATTTTGTCTCGCTTGTGATCATCTACAAAATGTTCCGCTAATGTTGTTTTTCTTCGTTTCTTTAGATTTATTTTAGTTTATGGATATTCGTGTTAGGCTTCGACCATGGTTGGAAAGTAGGCTAAATGATGGATGGATCGAAGGACTCAAGTGGATTGATAAGGATAAAGGAATTTTCAGAATCCCTTGGAAGCACCATAGTAAGCATACATGGACGGAAGAAGATGCTGCTATTTTCAAGGTATTCGTTCTACTTGAGTTCTTTATTCTTAGGATTGGGCTGTTGTTACAGGCCGTTATCGTGAGGGCATTGATATTCCTGACTGGCCAATGTGGAAGACTCGACTGCGCTGTGCCCTTAATAAGGCACCTGACATCCAAGAAGTTAAGCAACGCCACAACCTTCACTGTGAAGAACCCTTCAAAGTGTACAGATTCGTCAGCAAAACGGAATCGTTATGGCGTGCAAACGCAATCAGGAATGCTAGTATGATTTTTGATGGCCTACCGGTGACCTGCAGATTCACATCCCCAAGTAGTCTGAATACTAACTCTCATGCTAGTCCTTCATTCCATCCGTCAAAGCGACATGCGTTAATTGTTCAGAAGTTGCCTGCACTTGGCTCCGGTTCTCGCCAATTTACCTTGGTATGTGCAGTCTTTGTATCATAGTCTATTGTGATGGTTGATGACATGAAGTTGATTGCTATTTTATCACTTTCTGGAATTGCGTATAGTTCTTGCGTTATCCTGGATAAGCATCTTTAATGGCCTTGGAGTGAGTGGGTTCTCCACATAATTTAGTGACATAAGTAGTTATAATTCAATCCAACATTTTGTCACTCCAACTCTGGGCTTGGTGGCCGTGGTGGTTCAGTGTTGACTCCCAGGGACCACACGTTTCCTGTATTGACTTCTTCCTCACTTAACAAAATAGTGCCCATAAAAATTTTGAACTATGTCTCATATTGTGTACTAAAGGCCTCGAACATTTCAGTCTCGACTACTCATGAAATCCGTTATTAAGTGGACTTGAACCGTTGTTTCTTTCTCTGTTCATCTGTCTGACGTCCATCACAGTCAGTGAAATGTTGACAGGTTATTACATTCATAGCAACCTTACCGCCATGTAGAAAAAAGAGGCGGCCGCCAATGCAGAGATACAATAATGCTCGCTGCCAGCTGGTAAACGTGGTTTACTATCTTCATGGGTGTTATATTATGGACTGATTTGCGAAACTGTTAGCCGTCCTTGTAACTATGTATTCTAAGTAGTAGTTCAAAACTTATCAAATTTCTGTTAGCTGCTCCCATATTAGGAAAAATTACAGTCAGTGGATGTTAGCTCATCTTTTCAACATACAGCTGTTGAGTACATTATTTCCATAAATTAAAGTGAGAAGTTGGTTTAGCTCTCATCGATTGAAGCAAGTTCTAAAGTACACTATTTGAATGTAAGCTGAGACACTTCTACCATGCGCTGTTTTTCCAAATTCTATTGTTCATTCAGCTGTTTGCACCAACAATAGGAACTGGTTTAAAAATCAACAAGTTTGTTGGATGCAATATTCCAAGGTTCAGTTATTAATGCCTGTTTGTTTCATTGACCATCTCTACTTTCGGTTGTCCTCTCCATGGTATTTCTTTATATGTTGAAGATTAATTACGATTATCCCAGAGTTTATTTGAAATCTGAAGCTTTCTGAATGTGATAAGTTAAAACTGAACATGTTTAATGGGTGCTTTTCAACTATTTAAAGCTGAGTATGGTGTACAGCAGTTCACTAACTCCTATTTCAGTGGTTACTTGATTGGCCTAATCACTGCTCGAACAGTGGCTCTCTAGTTCAAACTTCACTCCATCTAATTCGATTTCGGGAACCTAATAGTGTCGCAAATTTCCTCAATTAGTGCAGCTCCTAATTTAGTACATAAAAGTGTATCGCTCTTGAGAGTCAAATGTGTTCACACTCCATTCTCTCTTTCCTGTCCGCTTGTTTTTTGCATTCTACTGTGAAGTGTAGCAGCTTAAACCGATGGACCTCTATGCAAGGTTCTGTGTTGGTTTTTTACTCCGCGTTGCATTCTCGTCCTACACTTGTGATGTGTAGTCGTTGCAGATGGACAGATAAAGGGCGATTATTGGTTATAGATATGTTCTTGATGTTTTCCGTGTAGTCGAACCGTTCACAGATTTCATAGCCTCAGGTTATGGGACTTCACTATCTAATGTAATTGAGCTACGCATTATTAATGTTCCACCATTATCCACGTTGAACTGTGATCCAAACTGCAGTGGAATTAGACTGAAGAAACTTGTACTGTTATTGGTCTGTCCTTACGCTAAAGGTACTGAGTGTTTCTCTGAAATGTCTGTTGAGATGTGGATTATTTTACTGGCATCCTCGAGAAGTCAGAAATCAGTGGTGATTAGGTGCTTAGCCCATAAACTTGTTACTGATATACACATCTGCTTACAGTATCTCACACTATGCATTTTTTTTTCCTTTTTTTTTTGATCGTATTTTCATATTTTCGGTAGTATGCGCTTTACTCCACTTGTCTGTCCTCAAAGAGAGAAAAACAGTGTACTAAACTTGAAGGTATGCAAAGCTATGGACATTAGAAATGTCCATCATTGTTGAGAAGTCATAGACATGCTATTATAATTCAGTTAGAAACTGACATATATTTATTCTTATTCTTTTTTAAGTGGAAATGTTTGCAAATAACTGAAGACTAGTTTTGACTAACTGATGGATATTATTCTGAAAAACAAGTGTTTGTCCACACTGAAACGTAATACTCAATCTTTTATTTCTGCTTAAATGTAAGAATAAGCAAAATTGCGCCGAATCCCACGTATTCTTTGAATCCAAAACATCATTCAACAGGGTGCGAGGGGGCTTTTCTTATATGTTACTGGAAACCTGCGGAGGAATTTGCACCTTAACTGCTACCACGGATTGTCCATTATTTCTGCTTCTGCTTAATTTAATCTTTTGTACTGCTAGAGAAAACCGCTACTACCCTTTAATTTACAGTTTTTCCTATTGTATGATTCTATGGAAAACTCAGAGTATTCGTACTGACTCCTCAGATAACATCGGCATCATCTAGCCACTGTGGATGATTACGTAGGACAAAATGGTTCACAATCGAACACAAATAGAGGTATAAGTTATTTTTGGGCTAATCTCAGCGTGTTTGAATTGAGGAATTTCAACGTTTCGCACGAAAGTCTGGTCCGAACTTAGGAGGAAAAAATGTGCATTATCATATATATATATATATATATATATATATATATATATATATATATATATATATATATATATATCAAAAATCGTAGTTGTATGATAATGTAGATTCTGATTATTTTCCTGAAGCCCGGACCAGACTTTCATTCGAAATGTTGAAGTTTCCTAATCTAAACCCGCTAAGATTTATCTAAATGTGACATATCTAATGTCAACTTTTCACTCTGCACTGAATACAATATTCGTGAAACTATCCGGTCAACTCTTGACCAGGATTCATATGAACATATAGAGGTACATTCATCTTACTCTATCTCTTGAACACCTCACTATATATCTCCGTTTCCGTACGTCCTTTTCGTTCGTTTTATCCACATACTTTCGTACCCATGAAGACTGAAAATAAGTTGAGACATGTAAATATGCTTGCGTTGGACCATTGGGTCACATGTACAGTTGATCGTTAATTAATGTACACAAATTAATTACTAGTTCTGTCAATGACGAATAGGACAATTTTAATCTGCAGTTTTCAGCTAACTTTTATGAATAGCACAATCAGTAATGGATAATGATCCAAGTTCACCTTACAGATTTAAGCTTCCAGTACTAATTTCATATCACGACGACTGTCGGTTCAAAACAAAGTTATGTAAAGAACCACTTTGAGTGTCAGTCAGTTACGGTAATATTTCGGGAAATATAGTCTTTGTCAAATGTTTTTTGAATGAAACGATATTTTAGCTAATATTCATAATGCCAGTAGGCCGGAAATAAATTTAATTTTGTAACATGTATTAGGTAGAGCAATGCGTTTTGATGATAGGTTAGGAAAATTTTCACTTTATTTTTTAGGTCCGCAGGGGTGATGGTGTACTTATGAAACAATTACAATCCAGTACTTATCGTCCAGCTCATGTACTGCAAGGTCAACAGCTCAATCCTTACAGAATTTGCCACAGTTCTGCAAACAGGGCCTCCAATCAAAGTCTTAGATGCTATGGTGAACTCAATGTAGATAATTATCTTAGTATGCAACCATCAAGTTATGTTGATAGCCAAATAACAAACAGCACAGCCAATCTAACTGGTGCCGTTTCTCACTCTACTCGTTTTATTCCTGGAGTTAGTCCAGTAAACCAGTTTGTTCAGTTGTTACCTGATATTATGGAACCAGAATACCACCAGCTAGCTGTACGCATTCAGCATTTAAGTGTGCGTGTAAGGGATGCTATAGTTACAAACCCAAATGGATGCTGTATATACTATGGGAGATTTGATGAGGTAATAGCTATCTATAATAATAACTTATCTTAACAGATCACCTCGCCTGCTGCTCCAGATCCAATTGAAGCACAAATTCCACATCAGATTTCAGTAGCCAACAAAGCTTACGTTGACCTCCTATTAGACAACATGATCAGAGGAATCATCTTGACGGTTGTCCACCGTAGTATTTATGCTGAAAGAATATGTAAATGTGCTGTCTTTGTCTACATACCAACGGGTAGTGGAGAATACGTTTTGATAAAAAAACTTGGGCGTCGGTTAAAAGAGAAGATATTTGACTATGATCAGTTTTTATTTCACCTCGAGTCATACCGTCAAAACCAGCTGTCACGCCCTCATTTCGAGGTTATCCTTGCATTCGGCCAACAGTTAAAGCCTGGGATATCCACTGATAGTTTGTTGATATGGTCTCGTGTCGCTAGTTGTCGTGCATGGTTCCAATTAAATAAGGTAAACTTTATATATTCACTACAGTCTCATTTAATTAATCGTTTAGTGAAATTTTGATGTTATCAGCAAGAAGCTTGTGTATTAGGTTTCTACTTTACTTTTCATTTCAATTACCTTATCCATTATGAATCAAGATGCTGATATCAACGCACAGACGTTGCATTGCACGCTATAACTACTGACTGCTAAAGTTCTGATCGCTTGATTTTCTAATTTGCCTATAGCGCTGATTGGGCATGTGATTAATTGTGTATAAAACCTCGGCTTTTCGTATGCGCAATTCATCCACGGATTAGTCCCCAACTCCTTTTAGGAATGGAAATGACACCAATCAGATAACTGACTACACTATTTAGGAAGGTATGGCAGATTGGTAGTATTCCATCACTCTGGAATAAAGCAATGATTGTACGTGATAATCAGTGTCAGTCTGCTACCGACAGGCATCTATTTGTCGACTGCTGTCATTCCTGATAGACTGCAAAATGCATGAGAAACTAATCCGCGAGATGCAGAGCGGATTTCGTTCGGGTTGTGAATGCAATGGTCACATGTTAACCTTCGTTTATATGCTCAGACACCGTCACGCGTATTACATACCAACGATATTAGGGCTACCTTAACTTCGTTGAACAGGACTCTTTGGAATTGTCTGTTGGAGAGCTGCATACGTGAGAATTCGTTAACATCTTGAAACCCTTATACTTCATTACCTCTCTTAGAGTGAATATATACAGCCACCTCTCTATGTTGTCCCGAGCAAACAGTCCTGTACGACAGAGCTGTCGACTTTCGCAATTCTTCCTTAACTTTGCTATCGATGCCATTTTTTCTGTATGCTACTGTAACGGAGATGTGTTGCTTGCGTAGACCTGTTACCAGGTAAAAGATTTGTCAACCCGGAGTGTAAATACGATATTGTTTTTCTGTGCCACAACATACAGGCTACTCAAGTTGTACTTCATCATTCAGGGACCAGTGTCCGTAAGTATGGTATGTGCTTCGCACCGCCGAAGTGTAAAGTGCTTTCACAAGATTGATAGGAACATGTACACACACACCCTTGTAAGTAAACCATTGGAAGTTTTGGTACATTCTGTACGCCTGGGAAAATTTAAGAGTGCTGGTGGAGAGGCCGATAAAATTTCCAACCGCATATTAAAAACTAGAAAGATATACACTGATCCAGGTCATCTCTGGCTCCGTCTTGACTTTAACGCGCATATGAAAAGTTGGATAAGCAACGCGTTGGTGCTAACATTTTTGCTCTACACCTATGAAACTTGGCCTCTAAGCTGAGGATATTCGTGCTCGATCACTACTGTCTCTATGAGAATGCCTGGATCAGGTGGAGATAACCTGTAACTGATCTCGGGACAAGACAACATTTTAGGCATGATAAAGATTTTCATTCATTGTTTCAGGTTATGTGGGAACACTCACTTTGGTGGTTCAAACATGTTTTACGACTATGATTCTAACCGTTTCTATGCCTCTCACTGTTCGTTTGCTTTGGAACTGCTGGAGGGAAGTGGATAGGTGGTCAGTATATGACGGTGCAGTGCGATGATGGGATAATCACGGGTTAGCATCTTTAGATGCGTTGTGAAGTGACCGAGTATAATAGGACGCGGATATAATAAAGATACCGAACACAGCAGGACACTCAAAATAAATGCAGTAAAGAATTCGATGAGTCACGAAAGGTCGAAAGACAAGGACTGACCTGTGACTGCAAGGGCCACTTTATTCGACAAATGCATCCATATACAGTTTTCATAATAGTAAAAACGCACCATTTCAAATATAAAGTGACATCCTGTTTGGCTCTCTGAAGTATGAGATAGGTCAGTAGGACTTATCCTGACTGCAGAATAGCATAGATCGATATTCGAAGCTTAAAAATTCCTATCTGATTAGACCGATGGCTTTAAACGCTAATGTGAATTTTAACCGCTTCCTATCACTTAGCAACTCTTTAGATGGAGTCCGAAAGATAATGCAGCCTAGTAACTTGAGACGATACCAGATATGATCAGAAATCACCACTAGTCATGCTGCAGCTTTCTTGTTTCTCTTATTGATGAAAAACAAAAGGAATTTAGTGAGTACATCTTTGAATGTTTCAGACTGCTTCTGTCATAAACCAATTCAACTCTCCATTTTTACTCATTACTTTTCCTTTTTCCATATCACTCTTGTCCCATTGTTGCTAACTGTTGGTCTTAGTCATGTAAGGAAGTGTAGACTACTCATGATGATTGAAATCGGTGGTTGGTACCTCAGAATCGATCTCAGTGACGCGGATGCATTCATGCATTGTTTTTATCCTAAACATCATCCCGAATTTCGTTACTGTTTCACTCCTTGTCCTCTTTACACGATGTTCTACCACTTTTAACTTTTTTTCTCACTTCACTTTCATCTTCGGACACACCTTGATGTGCTGATATAAGGTGTGCAACGTAAACTGTTACGCAGTAATATCAAATCCTATGTTGACATTCGTCTCAAAAGCATGTGAATAAGTGTGAAAGGCCACTGTTGCTATAATTTAAAGGTAGGCCATAGTGAAATAATGGCACATTATACTGACGAAAAGGAAGGTAAGCAGGATTTTCAGAAAAGTATATATATATATATATATATATATATATATATATATATATATATATATATATATATATATATATATATATATATATATATATATATATATAGCTGTTTCTCACTGGTTTAAGGAGATGACTATCAACCAGTGGGTCATGGGTTCGATCCCCGCTCCACCTACCGAGATTTGAGCAGCCAGGTAGTTTCACTAGCCCTCATACAATAGGTGTGGCTAATTGCCTACCGCACGGATGTGCACAGTGACTGAGTACGTTTCGACGTTCAGTCAGGGAAGCTAGACTAATCGGAAAGGCTTATCTAGATTATCTAAAATATTCCGTGCTACCAAACCAACAACAGTGTGTCTGCTTTAGTTTTAGAGTACATGTTTGGACTTCGGTCACGCGTTTGTACGGTAAATTGTTTATTTACAGGAAACAGACAGGAGTGAAGTCTCCGTGCTCGAACGAAAGATAAAAACATCAAATGTGTATTCAGGTAAGAGATACCTAAGGATGGCATGGCAGCAATTCTCTTCTCGGGAAACTTTAGTGTACTACTAAGTTTACGGTAGAAACACCAGTAAAGACATTTGATAACCTACATTCAAAGGTTAGAAAACGTCAATTGACTTCCGTAACCTCATCTTAACTGATTGATGGAGTAAGACTCCTTCCAACTGGCCCTTACCCCCTATGAGGAGCGAAGCATCTGGAAAGTAAATTAACTAAGAGACTTTTCACTGCCTGTCAGTAGTGACTGCTGGGAAAGTTAAGGAGTTGGAGAAAGGGTGTTAGCATTAAGAAATACTTAGTAATTACCTTGAATTATTAAGGATGCTGACAAGAAGTTGGAGGTTAGTGAAACCATCACCGAAAGGGATGGTTTTTTATAACATCAGAACGCGTGGCTAGAATACTGAGTGGGACAATTTTAATAAAAGTACAACTGACTCAACCACGTCAGCGTTCTCCAGCATCTAACTTAAGCCTGAATCGGGAGTAGATGTCGGTCTTCCAACTTTCCACAAAGTTGAGAAGGCTGTATCAAACCTGAAACCATACAAAGCAGCAAGATCTGACGGTTTGCCACCAGAAGTTTATAAGAAAGTTACTGAGTGGAGTAATGAATGTGCTAGGTAGTGTAGTGCAGTGTATAAGAAGGGAGAGAAGTCTTCATGGGGCTACCGTGGGGAAATCAGTTTAACGAATCTCATGTCCAAGATCCATGGGTCCATTGTTATTTATGCGACGCTTAAGTGGGTCTCGATAACAGCAAACTCAGGAAAACCAGGCAGGTTTCAGACCTGAACGAGGGTGCATGGATCGGATCTTCGCCTTTCGTCAGGTTCTGAATTGTAGACATACTGTCGACCGACATTCACCATATTTATTAGCTTGGAGGCTGTATTCAGCTCTGTTGACTGTGGGATATGTCCGCGTCTGACCATGAAGGGAGTTTCAAGCAAGTATACTACACTAGACGAATCCTTCTTCTCAGGCTCATTCAGCCACTTAAAAAATTGTGGGTAGTTTTCATCTGAAGTAATGACAACAGTTGGTGTCCACCAGGGATGCTTGCTATCACAGTTCCTGTTTAACTTCGTTACAGATGAATCTAGAAATGTAACTCATCGGTTCAGGTAGTCGACTCTCAACCATTTGGTTGGGAGTTTAAAAGTCGCTCCACCCACCGAGATTTGGTCATCAGCCCCTACTATACCACCGAACAAATCGCGTAGTTCAGAAACCATTCAAGCTGATTGGTAGATTTTACCAGCCAGATCAGAGTGATTTAAGCACCGTATGGCTATTTCCTTTATTTGGGACCGAGTTCATCAATCGTACGCCTGAAAAGGTTCAGCTTAGAGCCGGATTGTTCAGATCACTCCAATCTGACCAGCTGGTTTGTATAGACTGGTATACATTTTCTGGGATGATCTGTTTGCAAGTGGTGATCTGCAAGTTGCACGGTTTACGTTGATATTCCTCTCAGCTGAGTAGTTCTCCAACTTCCCAACTGCTTTGTCAACAGGTTTTCCGTTGGAAAACATCCAACCAAGATCATAATATGTGATGTCTGACACTTAAAATGTCATGAACTAGCAAAATATACTACTGAACGGCTTGAGTAGTTAGAAACAACTCTCAACCTCATCGACTAAATTGTCTTTTTTACGTATTACCCTTCGCCTAACCCGGACATTGCTTACATCTTAATTCCACCATTGATAAGCGATATTGCGAAGACCTATAGTCTCCTGATATTCTCAACTCTCAACAGCCATGCCTCAGTCGTATAACAGGATGTGAAGTGGACTAAAATGTAGTAAACTCATCCTTTAATAGGTAGATTTATTACCTTGTGCATTTTGTTGTATATTAATAAAACTTCGTTTAACATCTTTTAGCACTTATAATTAAATCGAAATATTTGCGGTTGTTTTTGTAGGCTCATTCTCTACCGTCATCAAGTTACGATGCCACTAGTCACAACGTAAGTTTAAATAGTTCAGCGCGTACATCTGTTTATCATCGAAGTAATGAAAACTCAGAACAAGGAGATTATGTCGTTTCAAACCATTTTCCTGGGAATCAAACTGTAAATGGATGTAATGGTTACAATGATATCCAAGCAGTTGTAAAAACTGAGGAAATAGATCCTATTAATGAACACGTTTCTACAATTAGTTTTGCAGACGCCTTAGATCCAGATAGTATTGTCACAGAGCAGATAATCGAAGAAGGAGTTGAAGTTCCTTTGGATGATACTGAGGATTTAACATATGGTGCCTCAAGTTCCGTGATGCAAGAAAATCTCATAGTTTGTGATTCATCTCAAGATGTTAGTTCAGTTCCTGTGTGTACTCCTAGTTCTTCAGTTAATCAAGATATATTTTTAAGCAGTGTCGACTCAATTGATTTGAAATCTCATATACTCCCTTGTGTACATGATGGGATTACAGTTAACTTCAGGTCACATTCTAAAGAATGAACACTTTCTTACTAAACTTTGTATAAAATTCACTTCCTAGAAGACTGTCGATAGGTAAATGTGATAGGCCCACTAATATTTGTTTTTGCATATATATATATATATATATATATATATATATATATATATATATATATATACCCTCTCACTATCTCATATTTGCTGTAAAAATATACACTTCAATATTTTTTTCTTGCTTTACTTATTCTGATTTTCTTCTTTTTGGAATAATAAATTGTTGGTATGTATTTAAAACTCATAAACGGCGACGAAAAACAGTCATGAGTAGAGAAGGACCGTGAATTTATTAGGAGGGTGTATCGTAGTGTTAGTATCCCTAAAAGTAAGAATGCCGATGAACTGAAGGCAAATATTTGAAGATACCCTTGATAAGCGTACTAGTCGGGTTAGAAGTTTGATATAAGTAAAATAGGCAAGGAAAGTCTGCTTAGTAACCACTATTATCGATTTGCGGTCTCCAATCATCAGTTTCAGTAGTTTCAAAGACCGTATTCAGGTGAACTTCAGTTACCTAGTTTGTTTACAGTTATAATGTGTTTCAGGACCTAATGTGTATGAATGGACTGTTCGTCTTTATTTTAGATCCTGCTCACAGTGTATCACCTGAGATGGTTAAGGTAATTCCCAGAGATAGTGATTTAATAGGTAATAGTCAGAACGACGGTTTCTTAATACATACAGCCATTTCTGTTTATGAAACCTTGAATATGGGTGTCAAATACAATAAATCGTTAGTTAAATTTTTATGCTCATTTGTGGATTTTCCCTAGTACCTAACTGTCGTGTTGAAAAGGGCGTAATTGGCAAACCTATATTTTTCTGAACCCATGCCAACTCCGTGTGATATAAAGTATGAACGATGATTGGCATCCGTAGGTTATCACACCCACTGTGGTTAGTGCAAGTTCACTAATCGAAACTTAATAACTTTAAAAACATTTCAAGTAACAGTCAGCCGTTTGTGATAAATGCCTTAAAGGTATCGCTCTCGGAATACATTTAACCTTTTCGTGGTCAGTTCATGTGTATACTATGTTTCAATAGGGACTCAGTTGTAACCTTTAAAGCTTGGCTGTGAAGTCTTCGACTTAATTAATGAGCTACTGGGGATCAAACCTCTGAGGAAGCGTGAGTTACCTCAAGAATACAGTCCCCAAAAGCACAAAACTTGGGTTCAGGGTTACTTAACATATATAGTCTGCTCATGCTTCTTGTGTTCATACTTCATAGGTGTGTACAGTACACACTGAGTATCATCATATTCGCTGTAGGGTGAATTTATGGTGTTCAACAGCTTTCAAGCTAGTAATTGTCGTGAGTGTTTTTCTGAAACATTGTTTCTACCCTTACTGGACAGTATGACTTATCTTTTGATTTATCTTTCGAACTTATTACTTTTTACACTGATAGGTGATACTTACCCAGTTTGTCTTGACAAAGCTACTCGAATGTCAGTAAACTCCGATTATTATAATGTAATTATATTGATTTAGACCACATAAAATGCATCTAACCATTTTTCTATATAAATGCATTGGTCTAGTCTTATCTAATCTTAACTGTCTGCAACGATCCACGTATTATTTTTATATACAACGTTCTTTTCAGAGTAGTCGAATCATTGTCTTCTAGATGTCTTTGAGAAAAGGTGAAATACGCAACCATCATTTTATATGTTCGGTCATCAGTATGGTATTCAATTGAACTTGTTTATTGTAAAGTAGTTATACACCTTTTGACTACATTAGTTTTCGAAATGTAATTTGTACATTGGTCATTCCGTTTGAGGAATTGTTTTCGGTGCTCTCATTTGTTGAAAAGGAGAAAGTCGTGGTACTACGAAGAGTTTATGGAAACTGTTGTATATGATCAAAAGTTCAGTTAGCAACTAGCGCCCTGGGTTTAGCATATAGACTACTATGCGGTCTACGTTATGATCCATATATATATATATATATATATATATATATATATATATATATATATATATATATATATATATATATATATATATATATATATATATATATGAACAATGACTTCTCAATTCGATATTCAGCTGATACCAGAAACACGATGGGATCGAAAGTATATTTACTTCAACCGAACAATAATAGCTGAAAATCCAGTCGTTTATATATTCTTAGATGGTCTTGGTCAGGGGAAACAAAATGACATTAAAAGTGTAAAATGGACCAATTAGCGTTTAGTTACCTGAACTACGGTAAAGATAAGTGACAGCATGGCGTGAAAATAAGGTTCAAATTTTACAACGGTAATTTAAGTAAATCAGTATATTCTTGGGGATTAGGCATCCCTAACAGTTTGTTTACTGGATTTCAGCTATAAAGTTTGTAGTATTGCAATTCCTGTTGGGATATAATTGTGGTCACATCAATTCTGTTGTGTATTTGGCGCTCAACCACGCGTTACATGTGACAGTTGTTGATAGATGATGGATGCCTAGGTTAACGTGGGTGGGATAGCCTTGAATTTGTCAACATGTCACCAACCGAAAACCTGGTCCACTGAGCTTCAAATTCTGCCACGAATACTATTGCCCAGTGACTTAAAAGTTTCTCACCAGTTACTCAACATGATTTTTCTCAAATATTTTTATTCCTTGGTGTACGAATGCTCAACTTCTTGTTTTGCATATCAAGTTTATCTTCATACAATAAGTGTGACTTGTAGACTTGTACCGAACTGAGTTGCATTACTATCATACGTGGCCAGTTAAATTATTTTTTATTATTTGTCCCCTGGGTTCCTAATGGAACATGGAGCTTCAGTAGCGCCATTCCATTCTCTTCTCTGTAGTCTTGACCTGGCTCCACGACTCCCCAAAAGCCTTCATTTCTTCCTCACACGATCTCCTCCATGTCACCCTCGCCTCGAACGCCCAACTTATCGTTTCCCCTTTGGATTCCACTCGACGGCCTGGCCTGGTGCGTGAAGTCACCAATCTATCTTCTCAGTGTATGCCCAATCTATCTCCACCTTCTGCATATTTGTTGGGCGATGGGTTCTTGGTTGATTCGTCGCCAGACAGAGTTCCTTGTTGCTTATTCTTATTATTCTGATCTTCAGTATCAAGCGTAGGGAGCTATTGATGAATGTCTGTAGTTTGTTGGAAATGCTTTTCGTGACGCGCCAAGTCTCTGAACAATATAGAAGCACTGACTTGACTGACAGTGTTGAAAATCTGGATCTTGTTCTTTGTGCTGAGTGCAGACGATCTCCACACTGGTTTCAGATTAATGAAGGTCTGTCATGTTTTTCCGATCCTGGCTTTGACGTCCTCATTTGTGCCGCCTGTAGTTGAAACGATGCTGCCTAGGTAGGTGTAGGTGAGAGACTATTTCCTTTAGATTTCTCCCGTTCATGGTGATTGGTGTTTGTTGTTGTTGTTGATGTGGCTGGTTGGGTATCTTCATCACCTTTGTCTTCTCTACATTCACTTGAAGTCCAGTTTTCGCTGCCACTTCTGTTAACTTGTTAGCTTTCGCCTGTAAATTTTCTAGTTTGTGTGATCCTGGCTTTGACGTCCTCATCTGTGCCGCCACCTGTATTTGAGACAATGCTACCTATGTAGGTAGGTGAAAGAGACAACTTCCTTTAGATTTCCCTCATTGACGGCAATTGGTGTTTGTTGTTGTCTGTTGGTTGAGTATCGTCATCACCTCCGTCTTCGGTATATTCACCTGAAGGAAGTCCCGTCTTCTCTGCATCACCTCGCCCCTTCTGCCGACTTGTTGGTTTTCGCCTGTAGACCTTCGAGTTTGTGCGACATTAAACATAAATCATCACCGGTGGAATCCAGATCATCTAGGGTCTTTTCATCGGTCAAGCTGCGTATGTCTCTCTTCTCGCTCATCACAGTTTGTTGCATGATCCAGTTTAGTCGACCAGAATCAAGAAGATCATCGGTTATAGTGGGCAGCCTTGTCTTACCCCTATCTTCAAAGGCGTCACTGAGCTTTCCATTGTGAACCACTTGCCATATAGCTGCTGTTGAATGAGGTTGGTAAAGGTTTGTGGCACTAAAACCGTAGTGCTGAAGCAGCAGTTGGTAAATTACTTGTTGGTCAATGCTGTCGAGTACCTTTTCAAAATGGATGAAGTTGAGGTAGAGAGTTGGCTGTTGTTCTATGATGATGCGTAGCGTAGCGTTACAATTTGATGCGCACATTATGTGTTTTTGCTGAAGCCAGCCTGTCTCGGTTGTGATTTTGAAAGTTAGATGATTAGCTAATTGAAATCTATTTTTTTTGCATTACATAACAGCTGACTACCCAATATTTATCTAGTGGATCAGCTTAAGGTGTTGACTGTAAAATTCTGAATAGTTTGATCAAGTGTCGTTGAGCAACGTTTATACATTTTTGAACATTGAAAAGTTTATTGCTTTGCGTAATGCTGTGCTAAGATCACTACGTTCTTGCAAGTAAAAAAGCCTGTGTCAACCTCACCGCATTGTTTTTCATTCTTCGCATGAGAAACAAAATCTCCCTAACAAGTGTCTATGCTACGACACAGCATTCTAGTTCTCTATCTTATACTGATGTCCTTCATTCTCACAAAGTCATCTAGAACATATTGCTTGCGATTCCTGAAGAATACCGATGTTTCTCTTGTGTATAGGTGTGGTATACAGACTTTCAGTCTGTTGTGTGTGCACGTAGGATAGCATCTGAACACAAATGCAGGTCATTTTCGTATATCATGGATGGGTAATCTTGAGTAAATATAAATGAAGTTGATGTTCTTTTGGAACGAGTTCAATATTCTGAAATACTTATAAAGCCATCAGTATGCCCTAAGAAGTAAACTCCCTCCTCCAAATTAATCGACGTTAAATAAGGCACCAAAAAAGGTTGCTCAACAACTTGTTCCGTATAGTCTATTTTAAATCAATGAAGCCTCCTATGTCAAGATCATAAGGTGAATGAACTCAACCCAACAGTGATGTGCAGGTC